TCGAGAAACGGAGTGAGACGGAACAGTGCGCTGGTTTTCGGCAGCTGCTTACCTCCTCGTAGGAGTCGAATTTCCGTTGAGAAATAAGCATGTTGCGTTAATTCGACCCAAAGAAGGACTGACAATTCTAGCTCCCCTGCAGTAAGAGGGTCTTGCGATACAGGCACAGTCCTTGAAGGTCGGAAGCGTTGGATCGCACGTAGAATCCAGGCGGTAATGCGGGTCAGTCGAGTGAAAGATGAGTATCGTTTTATGAGATCCCACATATCTGGCTCTGGAATCACGATCGCGATGGCGCAATTACGAGCTCGTTCTTCAAGATGTGCGTTGGAATCGAGCGAGAGCTTTGAGACTGGCCACGCGGTCGAGAATTGCTGTAGCCACAGAGGTCCATGCCACCACGACTGATCTTGCTGGAGAAGTTGAGGCGATGTTCCGCGAGACGCCACGTCAGCAGGATTCTCTTTCCCTGAGACGTGATGCCACCGAGAGTTTGAGAGCTCTTGTATGAACACGACACGATTTCGCACGAATTCTTTCCATCTCGATGGATGGCTTTTGATCCATGTTAACGCGACGGTGGAGTCCGTCCAGAGATGCGCTGGCGTTTGAGTTAAATCGAGAACTTCGCGTATTTTGAGAAGCTGTTTCACGAGGAGTACGGCAGCTGATAATTCGAGTCGCGGAATTGTTACGCGTTTAAGCGGAGTCACTTTTGTCTTTGCACTAACGAGAGTCACATGAATGCCGGTGGGAGTCACGACACGGAGATAGATAACTGCGGCAATTGCATGTTGAGAGGCGTCCGAGAAACCATGCAATTCGGTTCCGAGAGCCGTTGAGCTGGTGCCGAACCAACGCGGAATCACAATAGCCGACACCTGTTCGAATTGCTGCATGAATTCGATCCACTGAGATTTGAGAGAACATGGTAATTCGTCATCCCAGTCGAGACGTATTGCCCACAGTTGTTGCATGAATCGCTTGGCCGTGATTATAATCGGTGCGATCCAGCCGAGAGGATCGAAAATCCGCGCGATAAACGAGAGTACCGAGCGTTTAGTGAACGTTTTGTCTGAGCGCGGAAACGAAGGGGCAACAAACACGAAACTGTCACTTGATCGGCTCCAACGAATTCCGAGAGTATAATGCGTCGTGGAGTCGCCGACGGGTAGGATCGCGGAAGGATCCTGATCGCACACGGGAATACCTTGGAGCAATTCCGAAGCGTTTGTAATCCACTTCTTCGGATTGAAGCCACCCGCCGTGAGAGTATCCTTAAGCTGCTGCATCTTTTCTTTCGTTGTAGAGATGTCATCTGACCCGGATAAAATGTCGTCCACGTATGTATCGCGGCGTAGAATTTCGGCAGCCAGTCCGCGTGTGGATTCAATGTCGGTTGCGAGCTGTTGCAGACAGCGAAGTGCAAGATATGGCGCGCAAGCTAGACCGTATGTCACGGTACATAAGAGATATTCTCGCGGCCGTTCACACGGAGAGTCTCTCCAGAAAATCGTCTGAAGTGGCCAATCGTCTGGATGTACGCGAATTTGTCGATACATTTTTTCTATATCGGTCGCGAACACGTAGCGATGTCGACGCCAGCGAACGAGAATGTCAACGAGATCCGTCTGCAATTTCGGGCCGATATGCAAGCAGTCGTTTAATGATATTCCGAGATTTGTTTTCTGCGATCCATTAAACACGACGCGTAATTTCGTGGTCGAGCTTGTTTCTTTAATGACGCCGTGATGCGGCAGAAAGAATTCGCGTCGCGAAATATCATGAGAACTTGAGAGACGCATATGACCAAGTTCAAGATACTCACGTAGGAACTCCTTATAGGCTACCTTGAGAGAAGCGTGCGTTTCGAAGCGCGCTTCCATACGTCGGAGCATCCTGAGTGCTGGAGCGCGAGAATCACCCAAGTCACTTACAGTTTTTCGGAGCGGTAACCGAACGATAAAGCGTCCATGCGCGTCACGAGAATGCGTTGTCTTGAAGTGTTCTTCACACTGAGATTCTTCTGGGGTGAGCGTCACGTTATGCACAGGCGTGATTTCTTCCTGGGCCCAGAATCTTTGGAGCAGATCGAGGAGTTCACCATCAAGAGAGCAGTGCAATCCATTAATTGATTGTTCTGTTGAGGTGTGATCATGCTCAGAGTAGAGTTGTCCGGAGAGTATCCAGCCGAGAGTGGTTTTCTGAGCGATTGGCGTACCGCTAGCTCCTCGGCAAATGCCGTCTTCGAGAATTTGCGCACAAACACCTGCGCCGAGAACGAGATCAATTTTTCCTGGCGTTGCAAAGTTTGGATCTGCAAGCGCCAATCCATGGATATGAGGCCACTGAGCATTCACAATAACTGCAGGTGGCAGATAAGAGGTGAGTTTCGGCAACACAAGAGCTTCGATTTTTAGAGAGAATGCCGAATTGACGCGTGAGATAATTTCAAAAGAGACACGTCCATTGGAGACACTGGATCGCTGAGCACCGATCCCGATAATTGGAATTGCAGCTGAAGTGCGTGAGAGTCTTAAGATTTGTGCGACGGATTCGGAGATAAATGATGCCTCCGATCCTTGATCAAGCAACGCGCGTACTTGATAATGTTCGCCGTATGGTGATACGACGGTAACGAGAGCGGTCGCGAGCAGTACGGACGTACTTCGAATTATACGCGATTGAGTCACATGACTGCATGCTTGAAGCGTTGATTCTTGTCCGTCGGCTTGCGCGAGATGCGTGGAGGTGAGTCCTATGTGCGAGGTCGACGGAATTGAGGCAATCGGCGACATCGTTGTTATCGCGGCTACCGGTTCGTTTGATGAGAGATGTAGCGTTGAGTGATGTTGCTTGCGACAGATACGACAGCGCTTTGCATTACGACAGCTTTTCAGATGATGAGGACCGAGACAGTTATAACAGAGGTTTTTCGATGAAACTGTCTCGCGGCGTTGAGCGGGAGTCTTCTCAAGATATTTCGGACACGCCGAAATATAATGGCTTGAATTGCACAACGCACACTGCTGTTCGGCGGTGGTGGCAGCGTATGATCTTGCGTTTAGTTGAGGTCGTGTCATATTTGTCGCTGGATGTTTACGTGAGGTCGTGGATCTTTCAATAGCTTCGAGAGTATGCACGCGTCCAACGAGAAAGGTTTCTAAGTCGGCGAAGGAAGGCGCGGTAGTTGTCGCACCGAGTGTTTTTTCCCAATCCTTCATTGATTCGGAATCGAGATTGCGCACAGTCATAAAAACGATAAGATGATCCCACTGGCGCACCGGACAGTCGAGAGCTTCGAGACCACCGAGGATTTCCTTAACGTCGCCGAGAAGTCGCTTGAGTTCCGATGATGACTCGGTTTTAAGTTTGCGAATTGCGAATAACGCTGACAATTGAGCATCAATTAGTATTCGCTTATTTTCGTAGCGAGCAATGAGCATTTTCCAGGAGCGGTTGAGATTTTCACTAGAGATAGTCACATTTTTCAAGAGTTGCGATGGCTCCCCTGTCAAGCTCATTTTTAAATAATGTAGTTTCTCGACAGCCGATATATCATTATTTTCCATGATCATGGACGTAAACAAATCTCGATAATGACTCCATTGAGCGTAATCACCTGAGAATTTTGGTATGTCGATACGAGGCAGTCGTCGAGAATGAGATGCGGTAGACGTTGTCATTGAGGCCTCGGTCGCGGACGCACTTCTTTCCGGTACGAGCTCATCTAACATGTCAAGCATGATGCCATTCGCATCGATGTATTTCTCTTCGCACAATGCATAGAGGTCGTCAGCGAAATACGGCAGCTTTGCAATGTCGGGGCTCCGCACTTTGCACAAGCTATCATGAAGACCCTGGAATTTCTCCCAATTAGCCTTGAGTGCGCTCACGCGACTTTGCACTGCTCCACGAGTTGTTTTTGTCGGTCCGAGTTTATGAAGATTTTCGACTGCGCGGGAAATCAGACCGAACAATTCATTCTGGCGAGCAATGGTGTTTTCGATTGTTGCCATCTTCGATTGAGTCGGACTAACTTGACTGGAGAGAACACAGCACGTGCGAAAATGCACTTATTTGAGAACGCACGTCGAAAGCGGCAACCGCACTTACGCAAGACTCACGCACAATCGTAATTCCGCAGCCGACTGCTGAGAACCGCTGGTGTGACAGCAACGAGACAATAAGCACGATATTTCACACTCGCGACGTTCGGTAATTTCGGTTACGAGAATTCACTTAATTCGCGAATTCCGAAGATCCGGCTCGAAGGACCAGCAATGTTTACGCGAGATAGTTAGAGGTTTTCAAAGATCCCGCGATTCGCACATGAACTGTATGAAAATCCACGTTTTCACTGGAGACATCAAAATTAACCGAACGATAGGATAGAGGAAAGATAAAATATCACTGCTTAAGAAAGATGACAAACTGATTTGATCTATTAAGAGTTTATTTGAGAAACACACAATTGAGATGGAGACAAAAACTGAATCCGAGACACATAGCCTTCGCGCGACAACCTTGCTTGATCAGAGAGCTCAGCTCAACTGCCGTTGACGAGGTGTCGAGAGACAAGAATTCCCCGTCGTAAGGGTGAAAAACGGGGAGCAAGGTATGTTTATTTGAGTGCGAATCAGCTGATCGGTAGCTGATCGCCAGCTGATCGGCAGCGAAAAACAACAAGGAATGTCACGGTCGCGGCATCGTAACAATACGAGACTCGAAAATAATATATTTGTCACGCTGAAATAATTGGCTATACAAAGGCGTGATATATAAATACAATGATCGAAAACTTATGCCGAAATATAAGATTGATCGATATGCGATAACTTTTACTTGTCAAACTCCAAACAGTATACGTACAATTACATTTGTTATACACATAAAAATATTGCTCATACATATAAATATATATTACATTATAAATACATAAACAATATGTTTTATATTATAAATAGATAGAATAGTTAATTAACTCTATCATTCTAAAAAATCTAATAGGTATTACGATTTATATGTAATGCTTGTACAATATCGAATAAATCGTTACATTCTGAGCCATATTCTGGGTCATTGGAATATGAAACTCGATATGAAGCTCGATGAAACATTTTTTCCATTTTTTTCCATTTCTCTTTTAATATGTTCTTAAGGTCGTTTTGTTGTTCAGGTGTCAGTTCATGTATGAAAGGAAGCTCAAAGATGCTATTCGCTGAAATAAATAAATTCTCATCTGAAAGATTTGCACATAAAGGGTAATTATGTTAGTGATCTTTTCATCACACATCAATTAAATAGCTTTATTTTTAAAAAATTTAATTTTCTAAATAAGATCTTATCATTTACAATTATTATATGTACTGTGAAAAAATAAAAATACTTACGTAAAATATAATCAGATTGATATATTACTTCCTCTCTAAAATGGTAGTACTTAATTTTAAATCCTTGGCATTCAATCAATCGTTTTAAGAAACCATCGGCATTAAAGTGATAATGAAAATCCGAATCATATTTCTGCATGTGACATGAAAATATAAAAATAATAATTAAAAATATGTAACGGGTGATTAGAAAATAGTACATATTTAAAATATTAACGGATACATACCATGAAATATTTTCCATAAATTGGATGACTCAGCAATTTAACCATGAAATTTCACTCCATCTTTTTTTAATAGAATCAAGGACAAGATCCTTCAGGATATTCGTGAATAATAATTTAACATCAAGTGAGATCAATAACTTACTATCTTTAACAGTACACGTCTCTCTTGAAAGCATGGCTAGCAACAAAAAGAGGATAATTACATTGAAACAACAGTTAATTTTCTTACTTCGGTGAAAAAGATATGAGATTTTACCACCTCATAAATTACTCAAGAATAAACATTCTTTCTTATAGTAATGTTATCAATCATAAATATGGCTTAATTGTGAGACGGAATGGATTTAGACTGTTGAACTTGAAGATTAAAGATTTGAATATTAACTTGAAGTATTTTCGGTCATTATTAGATAATATCGAAAAAAGACTGTATGATCAGGTCCCACATGATTTGTTGTTAAGATTTTCGGTTTTAATAAGCGTAAATTGGTAACATTTAACCATGTAATGAAAACCTAGTCTATTAATAAGTTCAACGGTTTAATAGTATGAAATACATTTCTCCAAATCCGTTAAAAAGAATTGATCGGTCAAAGTGGCTTGTAAACCTCAGTTGCAAAAACCTTCCAAACAATGTTATGGAGAATGTTAAAAGTTTTTGTCGTGTAATATGGACATATTGGTCACAAGGGCTGATAAAGGTCAGGCTACCGTGATTATGGACACGAATAATTATTTTAGTAAAATGAATTTGTTACTTAATGATCGATCTACTTATGATAAACTGGAAAAAGATCCTAGAAAAAAGTAAGTTTGAAAATTAATTCCTTGATTAAATCTTGGCAAGACAATGACTTGATCGATGGGACCATGTATAAACATCTGAATATTCAAAATTAATACCTAATCAAACCATCACATACCAATGCTCAAGCTCGTATGACAATAAAAACAATGATAAATTATTAAATTAAGGCCATGTGTAACGAGCAATACGATATTATTTTATTATTTAGAAGAAAATTCTTAATTTGAAATAATAATTACACAAACGTTTCGAGCTCTACTTGCTCCTCTTCAGTGCGCAAAAAAAAATAGTGATAATAAATAACGATAATAAATAAATACATAAAATTCTAATAAAAAATCCGCAATACATAGTCAATATAAGTTATATAGTTAAGTCATAGTTAAAACGCAAAATATATTTACAATGAATTGAAACCATTAAAATAGTTCAACAAAGTAAGAACCCAATTAAAAGCAGAATGATTCGTCCGGTTATTCATAAAATATTTTAGAATTATTAATAAAAACTCGGAGTGACACTTATACATTGCTCCAAACGAACCACTTATCGTTATTTGACGAAAGTCCCTCGATCTGGCAATGATTATGTCTATCCTCTCCAAATTATTTGATATTTGTTAACTGAATTTAGAGAATTTATTCAATTGTAAAATAGGATTCCACTAATGTGTATGTAAAAAAGATTAAAAATTACAAATTAAACTAAATACTAAAATATTGAACCTTTATGCTTACAAATTGTTCCGAATAACTTGAGATGACGATGCTTCTAATTGTTGTTGGCCTTATTGTTAGTACTTGACTGTTGTCTAGTCTTTTAAAAAGTCGAATAAATAGGTGTCAGATCTCACAAAATAAACATTTACATAAGTCTAAAAATTCGATATTTCTTCTAGAATGTCGAAATACGCGTTGTTAAGCAATTCGGTGTCTGTGTTATTATTTATACCATGCCTTTGTTCCTTGATGTGTATCATTTCCGAGATAAGTCTTTTATAATAATTAGATTCAATATCAAGTATTTTAACGTTATCCCAATCAAAAGCATGTTTTTTATCTATAATATGTTCAGAGACCACAGAATGCTTGGAGTTTATCAAAGATATAGAAGGGAATTCCACTAGTTCTAACATGAAAAATTTAAATACATTACGTAACAATCTGGTTCCACAACTTTCCTATTTTTTACACGGCAAAACTAAGTTTAATTCAACTCATGAAGATTTGATTAGTATGCATAAATATACAAGGAGGTTTTGCCATGATAATCCGGATATTCTTTTACAAGGGCTGATAAGGGCAACGTAACAGTCGCGATGACAAAAGAATATTACACGAATAAGATGGAAGGTTTACTTGAAGACAATAGCACCTATTCTATCATAAAAAAGATGTATGATTCTCCATATGTAAGTTTCGAAATTAATTTATATGTGGAACTTTGGGATCTCAAATTGAGATACAGTTCCGTTTAATTAATTTTTCGTTTCGTTTCCTTGGCTCTATTGCCCAGCTTAGAAGACGGCATACTTATATTATTTATATTGAGAGCCGATAAAAATATTTATTTCTGAATAATAATAATGTTGTCTACAAAATTAATTGTAAGGATTGTGAAGCTTCGTATGTTGGGCAAACCAAAAGAAAATTACGCACTAGACTAAAAGAGCATATGAATAATATTAAATTTGATTCCTCCAAGCATTCTGTGGTCTCTGAACATATTATAGATAAAAAACATGCTTTTGATTGGGATAACGTTAAAATACTTGATATTGAATCTAATTATTATAAAAGACTTATCTCGGAAATGATACACATCAAGGAACAAAGGCATGGTATAAATAATAACACAGACACCGAATTGCTTAACAACGCGTATTTCGACATTCTAGAAGAAATATCGAATTTTTAGACTTATGTAAATGTTTATTTTGTGAGATCTGACACCTATTTATTCGACTTTTTAAAAGACTAGACAACAGTCAAGTACTAACAATAAGGCCAACAACAATTAGAAGCATCGTCATCTCAAGTTATTCGGAACAATTTGTAAGCATAAAGGTTCAATATTTTAGTATTTAGTTTAATTTGTAATTTTTAATCTTTTTTTACATACACATTAGTGGAATCCTATTTTACAATTGAATAAATTCTCTAAATTCAGTTAACAAATATCAAATAATTTGGAGAGGATGGACATAATCATTGCCAGATCGAGGGACTTTCGTCAAATAACGATAAGTGGTTCGTTTGGAGCAATGTATAAGTGTCACTCCGAGTTTTTATTAATAATTCTAAAATATTTTATGAATAACCGGACGAATCATTCTGCTTCTAATTGGGTTCTTACTTTGTTGAACTATTTTAATGGTTTCAATTCATTGTAAATATATTTTGCGTTTTAACTATGACTTAACTATATAACTTATATTGACTATGTATTGCGGATTTTTTATTAGAATTTTATGTATTTATTTATTATCGTTATTTATTATCACTATTTTTTTTGCGCACTGAAGAGGAGCAAGTAGAGCTTGAAACGTTTGTGTAATTATTATTTAAAATTAAGAATTTTCTTCTAAATAATAAAATAATATCGTATTGCTCGTTACACATGGCCTTAATTTAATAATTTATCATTGTTTTCATCTGAATATTACTAATGGGAATCTCCCGAGATGTTACGGGTTGCCCAAAGTTCATAAGCCGAATTTTTCCTTATGTATTATTGTGTCGTCTGTGTACTTACAATGTAGCACGGTTTATTCACGATATTCTTGAGAGTTCGATTAGAAAACCTCCCTCGCATATCAAGAATGGATAGACGTTCGCGAATATTATTAAAAACCATACTATTAAAGATAGTGAGTTATTGATCTCACTTGATGTTAAGTCATTATTCACAAATATCCCGAAGTATCTTTACAACAATTTTTATATGTCGTTGAATTGTTGCTTAGTTCGACTAGCTTTTGTTTCGACGGACAATGTTATGAGCAGATATATGGCACTCCCATGGGTTCTCCCTTATCACTTATTTTGGCGGATCTTGTCATGGATGACTTAGAAACATTGTCATGCTTTGTTGCAATTTGAGATCTCAGTTTACTATAGATACATCGATGATATTTTTACTATCATTCCGCAGACTGAGGTTGACACTATGTTGTCTACTTTTAACAGCTTCCATAAGACTACAATTTACGTATGAAGTCGAGTGTAATAATACGTTAAGTTTTTGGATACGACTGTTATCAGATGTGCCGAAAAACTCGTGACTAAATGGTATCAGAAACCCACCTCTTGGGGAGGTATTTAAACTATCGACTATTCGAACCACCCGTACAAATACAAAGTCAACGTGATTAACAATTTGGTTGAACACGCGAATTTTATTGTCTGATGAACGTTTTCATGCCAATAACATAGCTATTGTTAAAAAAATTTTATCGAATAATTGTTTTTTGTCTGATATGAATGACTATCACGTCCAAAAAAGACTTTTGATTAAATATACTTTTTGATTAAATGTAAAAACGAGATAAATAATGTGGATTTCAATGCGAGAGAATTCGGTGTTTCTAATTGTATATTACTACCGTACATGAAAAATTTAAGTGAGAATATCAGCAGAACTTTGAAAAAGACAGGCTTAAAAGTAATTTACACAATACCAAAAAGACTTGATAAACTAATTAAATGTGGCAAAGATAAAATTGATACGATTGACATGAGTGAAGTAGTTTATAAATTGACTGTAATGACTGTGACGCTACATACATAGGACAAACAAAAAGACAACTAAATATCCGAATTAAAGAAATATGAATAACATTAAATTGCATGTCAGTAATCATAGCGTAAATAGCAAACATAAGATGGAATAAACGTATAAATTTTAAATGGACAACTTTGAAAATTTTGTACTGCGAAAAACATAAGAGAAAGAGGGAAATCTCAGAAATGTTTTTTATTAAAAAACATAATAAAAACACGATCAATTTACAAAAAGATACGGAAAGTTTAAATCCTATCTATGATAATATTATTAAGGGTCGACAGGCGACATGGTGGAGACGCTATCGGCCGGCCGGGAATTACGGATTCGTTTATCCCAGATATTAGCCAAAATACTTAATGAATCTTATTAATGGTCGAAACGTCGTGAAATAACCAAATAAAATGCTAGTTACGTCGTAGTCAAGTTTTTTAAGCTTATTTTCACCACTAGCGACAAATATTAATTTTGAGTAATATTAATTTTAATTGATCGAATCTTATTAAATTTACGATATTCTTAATCAGTAGGATTGTCCGCAGAGAGACAAAGATTGATTTTTGGAAAAAGATGAATATAAAATTCATAATATAACTTGGGGAGATGCGCAGCTAGCAGCGGATAAGGTTGGGTTAGCCACGAGATCGTATTTAATTTATTATAAATTTTAAGAGCAATAATGCAAAATCCGACTCTTTGCCTCCTTGCTTTATTATATAAAGAACATATTAAAAAATATTTCACGAAGCTACGTAACTTCTTTTTATGTAATATCTGGGATGAACAAATCTCACTAGGTCTATACTCATGGGAAATTTTCGTGGTAACATACTGACAGCTTGACAAGGAGAGAGTATCATTCTATCTTTGTCTCTCTTACATCGCATATGTAGTAGCGTCCATGTAGGTACAAACACTAATACGTGAGCACACGGATGCAAATATTGAGAGATAATGTCAGCAAAAAGGCTATCATATTTTTTTTATTTTTTTGTATATGTATGCATATGTAAATAAAGAAACAAAAATAAAAACTATTTTAAATAATAAGAATCTATTTGTGTGTGTTGTGTGTAATTAAAATTAATAAAAAATATTTTTAAATATTTAAATATATTTTTTTTAAGATTAATTGAGGAAAAGAATATTTTAAATGTAAAAAAATATTTTAAATATTCTTTTTCAATTAATTTTTAAAACAAATTTTTAAAAATATTTTTATATATTCAAATACTTATTATATTATATAAAAATTATTGTGAATTATACTCATTGGAGTAATAATTATTGATTGACGCTTGTTATGGCACAAA